TTTTTAATGGACCTCTCTACTGTATTTGACACCACTGATCTTCCCCTGACACTCTTGCTCCACTGGTTCTTACTATGCTGTTCTCTGCTGATTCTTTGTGTATTTCTCTAATTGTTCTTCCCCTACCTTCTTTGGGGGTTTTCCCTCCATCCATCTTTTATGAGTTGGTGTCCCTTAGGGAGCCATAGCTTAAACTATGGTTCTTCCCACCTTACATACTTGGATCCATTTTCATCTTTAAATTACTACCTTTTATGATTATGTTTCCAAATTGGTATCTAGCTTCAGAGCCTTTTTTCTGAGCTTTAGTTTTGTATATTCAATTGCCTGTTGATTTCTCCACCTGGATTCTTTCAAGTACCTTCAAATTCAACATGTTAAAGGCTGAGCTTTTTTTTTTTTTAACCTGCTTCCCTTCCTTCATTCTCCCTCCTCTTCCCATTCCATATCCAATCAGTTGTTGAGCACTGCTGATTTTGTTTCAAAATTTTTTCAGATCTCTGTCACGACTGCCCTGTTCTCATTATCTTTCGCCTGGACTGCTTCAGCAGGATGCTGAATAGTCTTCTGACTCCAGGCTGATCCCCCTCAAATCCACCCTCTATTTAATCTTCAAAGTGACCTATCTAAATGTAATTTCCAAGAGGGCAGGCAGGGCATCCTTCTTTTTGTGCTCTAGACCTGTTTCATTGTTGAAGTGCTTAGTAAAAATTTCAATGAATCAAGGAATTTATCTGAAATGCTTAGATGACCAAGCGTCTACTCTATTAAAAAATAATTCTTCAGTGATTATTCATCATCTCTAGGATGATTTGGGACCATCCTGGTCTCTAGTCCCTCTCTACCTTGCACTTTATGGGCTGGCAATGCTGAGTTACTTTTAACTCACAAATGTGAAAATCTGTGTCTTAATTCCATGGCCCACCCATGCGAACTCCCCCGGACTGCAAAGCTCTTCTTCCCTCAACCTTGTTAACTAATATTCACCATTTAAAATTCTGGTTAAATATCATCTCTTCCAGGAAGCCTTCTGATTTTTTTTTCCCCAATCCCCTCCAACCTGGTCTGGGTTAGGTATCCCTTCCTTGTTCCTATCGCCTCCTGACTATACTATTTATCCTTACCAGTTTTACTATAATGATTTGTTGGTGAGTTCATCTCATTTGTCTGTGATTTCATAGAGGTCTTTATCTTTGTATCCCCAGCACCTAACACAATGCCTAGAATTTGATAGGAGCCTAGAGTGTAAAGAATGGTAAATATTTGAATGATTGCATGAAGCAATTTCTCTGACATTTTGACTTAGGAATGTAATGGCCACATTGCACTATATTACCCAAATGGTTTTAAGTTTCCTCAGTATCATATTTTGGCATTGCAAATACGAAATTATTGTTATTCTTGGTTTCTTGCTTTTCTATTTCAGCATTTAACTGATTGCCTAGGAAATTAATCTAACAATAGCTGCTGTTAATAACTCTTAGTTTCTAAGTGAAGAAATTTATATCTTTAAGTATATTTTTATACCTTTAAGTATATTATTAATTAATAATCCTTGTGTTGGCATTATATTTATTGACTTGCTGAAAACTTTAATCCTTACTATTATTTTGGTTAATGTCAAGTGACTGATAAAGAAAAGCATGCTCCATAACAAAGAAGAATTTAAACGTATAGAAAAAAAAAGTTATAGGAAAATAAGATTTTTCCTTTCAAGAACAAATTTGTGTATCTCTAGTACTGTAATGTTGGATATTATAGCCGTAATGTATACTGGGACCTCAGGGAAGGGAGAGGAGTAATAATGCAATGGTTTGAGCCATATCTGGGAGAACTAACTTGGCTGTGGGAGTTAGCCCTTATAGGAGAGTTTAGAACTCCAAAATGTAAGCCTTACTTTATCTGGGTTGTAAGACTGAAATGATGTGTGGGGAGGGTAGTAGGATTTTCTGGAGCATGGCAGTACTTGGGAGTAAGTTAAGCTTCTGCACTTTCCCCTCTATGCTTCTGTTTCCCTTTTTTGCATGCCTCTATTCAAGAGCATGGCCCTTGATACTTAAATCATTCATTTACTTCTGTCTTCTCCTTAAAGTTATGAAACCTTGTGGACACAGATTTTACAACATTCATTTTGTGTTCCCAGTATCGAATACATAAGTGTTTATTGAATGAACAAGCAAAGGGGAGGGAGGTGGGAATGTGTTGTGTAGAGGGAGTGTGGGGGCACAGTATGGTGTTGCTGGGATTTGAGCACAGCAGAGGGATTTGTCTAATTTGAAATTGCATTCTAGCCTCCCTGGGAGACAGGTGAAGGAAAAGTGACTGCATCTAGTGAGGATGGCTAGTAAGGTCTAGGCAGGTTTTAGAGGGCTCAGGGTGGGGCTCAAAGTCCTACTGCAGTGGGCTCAGGCAAGTGTGGTTGGCCTGAAGCTTGATGGACATGTGATGACAGGCCTTTAACCAGGCATAAAAGGGCAGCAGACGTCCCACTGGACTGAATGCAGTGGTGGAGATGGGGGCCTCTCCCCATACTCTGCCAGGATGGGTTAGAATCATCTCAGCGTGGAGTCATGGCCAAGCCTGCTAGCCTCAGTACTTACTGCTGAGTAGAGATGGAGAGAGCAAGGATGCTTATATTCCAGAAGTGAACATCTTATGTCATTGTCATTCATTTGAGCTGGTTTTAGCAATATTGCCCCTCTGTTACTTTGGCTGTGGTGATGATAAATTTAATCTCAGAAAGTGATCAAAATGAGCTGATCAGTCACTCTGCATGCTGGTTTACTTCCTGTGTGCAGCTGCTCTTTCAGAGACAGTCATGGTATTACTGTAGCCTTGAGTACATTTTTTATGATAGGCTGTGGGAATTGTTCAGCTTATTCAGAAAAGGTCTTTTCTCCCATAGAGCTATGACTTGGTTTTGTGAAAGTTGTCAGAATCAAAATGGAGTCACATGTGTGAAACACTCTGACAAATAGTGCTGGGGAGGGTCATATACAAATGCTTGATCATTAGAACTACCAGAAAAGAATGCAAAAACCACAACCTTACACCAAGAAATACTTCTGCAAGGACGTCTGCCCAGCAACTGTCTATCCAACCTTGGACTGGTGTCATGCAGTCCAAGAATAATTATCTCAAAACAATTATGTAATCATCCTCATTTTTCCTTTAAAAACGTTTGTCTTCCTTTACCTCCCTAAATCCACCCATAGTTTACTATGATATGTGTATTTCCATTGCAATGCCCATTCCCAAATAAATATCATTTTCTTTTTTTTTTTTTTTTTGTCTTTTGTCTTTTTTCCGTGTCCGGCAACGGATCGCAACCCTCAGTGTTGCCCCCGTACCGGACCGGGGACCGGCAACGGGATCGCAAGCCTCGGTGTTGCTCCCGCGCCTCGCTCAGCCAGTGAGCGGGAGCCGGTCTGTATGTGGGATCCGAACCCTCGGACGGGAGCACCGCTGTGCTTCCCAAGCGGCGCACTATCCAGTGCGCCACCGGGCCGGCCCAAATATCATTTTCTTTTAGAGAGCCCCTCTGTTATTTAGGTTGACAGATTAGTGAAAACTTCACAGGTGATTTTTGCTGGTGTTTTTGTTGAGCAGATGAAGCTTTATCTGAAGCAGATTGCACTGGATTCAAATGTTGGTTCTCTCCCTTATTAATTGTGTAGCCTTGGGCAAGTTTCTTAACCTTTCAGAACTTCATGACGGGGTAACAATGACGACTGGCAGGGTTGCTTGAAGATTACTGCTAATGCCCACATCATTCCTGGGGCTGGCACATATGGGAACTCACTCAGGGCAGCTCTTATTGTGACCTGTGTCAGGAAATAATGCAGGTACTTTCTAATAAAGAGGAAATAAAAGAGTCTCTGGAATTTGTTCTTTGCTGGTTTTACTAAGAAATGATGATAAATGGCTGGATGTTTGCTGTTAGCACTACACACCTAACTACGAGGCATACGGTACCAAACAGATAGGAGATAGCTACGTTTCATGATTTCTTTTCACCTTTAGTAACAGCACATAGTTTCTGAACTGTATGCTCCATTTTTACGAACATTGCAAAAACCATTCAACGAGATTATCTACCATGCAAGAATATTTAAAGTTGGCTGTAGCTTCAGGGCATTTTTTTCGTTTTTGCATAAACCATAGTTTTCAATTATTTCAGCATCATCATACATATTATAGAGCTACACAGAGATGCTGGATGGTTTCATTGTATCACACACCATTTACTTTTGGAGAGGCTTTTTAGGGGGTGATACAATGAGATTTAAGCCATTCTCTCGTTTTTATTGGAAAATATGCTATTTATTGGAAAATAGGCTTCCTTTAGGAAGTCTTTAAAACTCACAAATTATGAATAAATAGATACAAAATTATTACATCTCTTTGCAGCTACTGTTACTTATAGATAAAACTGTAATATTTTACATCTTCTTGGTAGAAAAAAGAGATCCTAGACTTTTTAAGATGATACTATGTGTTTTAATTCCTACTGTTATTGGCCAGAAGTCATCGGTATATTAAGTGTAGGGTATTTTTATCTTTGAAAATTAAGTTTTATTAATATAGGTCTTTTGTAGTAAATGGTGAAAATGGATTTAAGGTTGATCAAAATCTTAAGGTATCTTTTCTCACATTTTAATATAACTCTTAGTTTTCCCATATGCTTCTAGCCCTGACACTACAAATGGTAAAAAGTGTAATGAAAATGTGCAAGGGAGACTTTGATTTTTGCCTTGGGTGGAATTAGTTAATGATATTCATTCAGATACAGCATGGTACAAACGGGGTGTATTAAGAGGCTTAAATTAGGTCAAATTGAGTAATCGAATTTACTCCTTTACTTAAAAACAGCTTAATCAGCTGAGTGTGCTGAAGTCTAAAATAGTTTAATTAAATATTAATCAGGAGTTTATGTTTTCAACTTCATCTTCATTTACAATGATTGTATATGTTTTTTCCTCTTTTGTTACCTTTTATAGATACCTGGTGATGAAGTTCAACCCTTTTCACTTGATGAAGAATTTGATTATGACAATGTGGCACTAACCCCCAAATTCACTGCTGCAGAGATAGAGACCATCAAAGAGCTTTGCAAACAAGAGAGAAAGAAGAGCAACACAGACGTAGAGGAGCCCTGTGACTGATTCGCTAAGGCATCTCTGTGTTTATTTTTATTTTGTTCTTATTCAAGCAACATTAGAATAAAAGATTAACCTACTATAATTCCCTTTATGGAAATGTACATGTGTGCATTCATTTGTTAGAGTTGTCTGTCATTAGGGAGATAGAGCAACAAACAAGATGGAAGAGGTCATGGCCCTTACAGAATTTTCTCCCGTCACGTTGTTGCTGCATCCTATGACTGGTTGGGGAGATGGGAGTGGGAAATGGTGACAGGAAGTCCCCCCTACAGAAGGGTTCATTTTGATGAGAACACTGCACCAGGTGATGTAGGGTATTGGTAACAGATTGGAAACATGATCCCACCTTCTTACAGTGAAAGACAATTGAAACATGTAAAAGACGTAGCACGTAGAGAAAAATTGCTTATGTGAGTAGGTCGCTGGTCCCAGCTATCCAGAGACAGTGTTATCAGCGTGAGTGTTGAGAGATTAGGCTGCTGGGATTGATTGGGAAGGGCTTCACTGAAAAAGAAGGCATCTGAGCATTGATTATATGTCATATATTGAATTCTTGCATTTTGGTATTACCATTAAACCGTCTTTCATGATAGTTCTAAAGTACAAGGTATGATGTCTATCTCCAGAAGCTTAAAATTTGAAAAGACAAGACAGCTAGAGAATGTAAAAACATATTATGGAGTGCTAATTTTGTAGAACACCCATAAATGCAATAAGGGAAGGAGAAAAGAGGGGTGAAGGCACAGAAAAAGGGGGAATAATATGTACGAAGCAATTTATATCATTGAAGAAATCAGTAGCAAGTCAAATGTATTCAGTCTTAATAGCTTTTTTCTTTTTTTTCTTTTAAATAGACTATTTTTTAGATCTTAGGTTCACAGCAAAATTGAGGAAGAGAGTAGAGACTTCCCATATACTTCCTGCCTCCCCCCCCAGACTCTCCTACTAGTAGCATCCTACACCAAAGTAGTACAATTGGTTTTTTTTGTTTTGTTTTTTTGCTATTCTCTCTCTCTCTTTTTTTTAATGTAAGAACACTTAACGAGATCTACCCTCTTAAGTTTTTAAGTGCACAATACAATATTGTTAACTATATGCACAATGGTGTACAGCAGATCTCTAGAACGTATTCATGTATAACTAGAGCTTTATACCCATTGAACAGTAACTCCCCATTTTCCTCTCTCTCCAGCCCCTGGCAACCACTATTCTACTCTCTGCTGCTATGAGTTTGACTCTCATAGACACCTTTTATAAGTGGACATATAGTATTTGTCCTTCTGTCATTGGGTTATTTTACTTAGCATAATGTCCTCCAGGTTCATCTATGTTGTTGCATGTGGCAGGATTTCCACACTTGCATATGCCACTTTTTCTTTACTCATCCTTCAATGGACATTTAGGTTGTTTCTATATCTTGGCTATTGTGAATAATTCTGCAGTCTTGTGCTTGTGATGGTGTGTGTATGAAGAATCGTGTGTGTGAGGGTGTGTATATGTATTCATAAAAATACCATTTATATTCTTCATAATAGAATGCTCTTGATTTGATGTTGCAGTAAAGTGATTTCCACATTTATTTTTATTTATTCAACAAACTTTCATTAAACACTACTTATGTGTTAAGCTTTATGCTAGGTAATGGGAAGGATACAAATATATTAGAGATGGTTTAATTTAGTGGGAAGAGAGATGCGTACACAAATAATTACAGAGAGGTGCACTGTCCAATATAATAGCCACAAGCCATGTTCTAGTGTACTAGAGCACATGAAATATAGCCAGGATGAGTGAGGAACTGATTTTTAAATGTTATTTACTTTTTAAAAAAGTATAAAATGAAAACTGATTTTTGATTCAGTTATTAGACAACTTTCAAGTACAAGGGTACTTCAAAAAGTTCATGGAAAAATACAATTAAAAGATAGTACAAATCTTTCCATGAACTTTTTGAAGCCCCCCTCGTACATTTAGAACAACGTGGGTATGTGAATCTACTTTTTAAACTAAATTTAGTTAAATCTAAACACAGTTCAATTATTTCTGATGACAGCTTCATGCCTAAATCTAAAATATGCTGTAAGTATATAATACACATTGGATTTTGAAGAGTTAATATGAAAAATGGTAAATATCTTGTTATATTTTTTGTATTGGCTACATGTTGTAATGATACTATTTTGGATTTACCTAGTTAAATATAATATATTATTAAAATTCACCAATTTTTACGTTTTTACGAGGCTCTTAGGAAATTGAAATTTACACGTGTGGCATGCATCTTTTTGTCTGACAGCGGTGCAGTAGAGGGTAGTCTATTGTAAGAGTGGTGTGTACCAAGAGCTCCTGGGGCAAAGCAAATTGGAGTTATTTAATTATGCCTTGGAGAGCTTGGGAATCTTCACAGAGGAGGTGACAGTTGAGCTTGGTCATAAAGAATCAGTAGGAGTTTTTGAGGCAGAGAAAGGGGCAAAACATTATAATCAGAGGGACTAGCATGCAGAAGGCATAATGGCATATGATAAACTATGGCCTGTTTGAAGTAAAACCACGTTTTCTGTGGAATGTGTATGGGATAAATGGAATAACTGCCAGAGAGGAAGTTGGAAATGTAGGTTGGGGCAAGATTTTGAAGTCCTTGTGTGCTGTAGACTCTGTTCTCTAATTGATAGGGAGCTATTTAAGGTTGTTTAGCAGAGTAATCACAATATCTGAAGTGTGTTTTGGAAGGATACCTCTGGTGTGAGTGTGAAGAGTAAAATGAATGGAGGTGATACTACATCAAGTGGACAAGTTTAGAGGCTGTTAAGATAGTTTGTGTGGGAGATGATCACAGCCTGGAGTAAGGCAGTGTGGTGGAAGTGGAAGGCAGTGTGAAGAGTAAAATGAATGGAGGTGATACTACATCAAGTGGACAAGTTTAGAGGCTGTTAGGATAGTCTGTGTGGGAGATGATCACAGCCTGGAGTAAGGCAGTGTGGTGGAAGTGGAAGGCGTGGATTTGATTAGAGATTTGGGAGCAGAACTAGCAATGATTGTTGATTGATGCAATGTGGGTATGAGAGAGCAATTGTGAGGTAAGATTTTGGTGTGCAATATGTGTACACGCTGACTTGAGACAACCTTATAATAGTTCACAGGATGGGGGACTCTCTTTTGACTCAATAGATAAAGCATTTTGGTATTTTAAATAAAGAAAAGACTTCATTTAAAGACATCCCATGTTATAAACTTAAATAGTTTTATAGTAGAAGGAACAAAACCATGTTTTTAAGTGCTTTAAAAGAACTATATTTCAGTAGAGTCATCATTTAACCAGGCATGGAAGATGGCAGGTGTATGTTACTATGGAACATTCTATCTGTAGGGTTGGTATACTATGTTTTGGCTTCATTCCTCTTGGCAATTTTTGATCCCTGCATTATTTGGGACAATTATGCATTACAGCAATGGTGATACTGGAAAATGGGTTCCTCTTAAAACCTTTGAATGAGGTCGTTTTGCCCCCTTTGTACCATTACATTTGCCCTATGTACCATTACATTTTTCCATGACTGCCTTTCAGTTTTAGAGATCCCTTGTATGGATGGAAAGGGTGTCTTTGACATTGGCTGGCAAACTCTAACCAAGTAAGCCTGTGCTTAAATTGATGGGTAATGGTTACCTGGCAGTGTCAACAGAAGTAAGACTTAATAAAGAGCAGAATATAAGTAGATGCATCTAGGTGTATACTCCAAAAAGAGAGGGAAGAACATGGAAAATCTAAAAGTATCTTGAGATAATGTGACGGTTGCAACACATGCTAGCTTGAAATGAAGATGTCACTTCAAACCTGCAACACCAGTCCTAGCTTGTTTAGTGTGGTGGCACACTGAGCGATCTTACTGTTTTCAGGATCCAACTCATGTGGTGGAACACAGGAAAGAGAAAAAATATCCAGCTCTGATATTGAATTTCCTTGATTCCTTGGTTAAGAATCCTCTTTTCCCACAAATGAGATCCAACTGCATCCTCATTTTAAACAAGAATTTCCCCCTATGTGTTAGGTGACTGTATGGTTGGATTAAAATATGAAGATAGTTAAAAAATTTTCATTTCATTTGCTTGTTTCTTGGAAGTTGAAGGTAAGTAGCATGGGAAATGATATAAAAAAGAAAATCTTACTGAGAATTTTCTAGAAGAATATTTCTTCATACGTGGAAGAGAAATCCATACTCCTTACCCTGGCTTAGCTTGCCTTTACGTCATATGGCCCCTCTTATCTCTCTGAACTTGTCTAGTACCATCTTACTTATTTCTTACTGTGTTCTGGCCAGTTTGTATTCTTTTTGGTTTTTCAAACACTCCACCTTGTTTGTACCTTAGGGCCTTTACTGTTCTTCCTTCTAACTGGTCTTCCCTGGTCTTCATGTGACAGGATCCTCCTCATTCTGGCCTCAGGTGAACTATATCTTCCCAGAGTCTATCTCTGACAGCCCTATTTAAACTAATCTCTTTCTCACAAAGTTCTATTCCTGTCACTGTGCATCCTGTTACCCTACCTTGTCTTGTTTATTGGCTGACTCTCTCTTACATTAGAATGTAAGCTACAAGAGAATATGGACTCAGTCTGCCTTTTCATTGCGGCATCTCCAACACCTGAAAAGAGTAAACACCTGGAGTAAAGTAGATGTTCAATAAGTATTTGCTAAATGAATCAAAATTAAAAGTATAAGCTTTTTAATTTGAAGAACTTGAGGTCTATTTCATCAGTTCAATTTGGTTAAACATATATTGAGCACTTTTTCTATTCAGGGCATATATAAGTTCTCATTTCCTAGACTGATGGTAATCTCACAGTCAATGCAAATTTGGGAAGCCTAGCTTGGTTGGATGGAACTATTCCACATTCAACAGGTTCCTTTTTCCCCTCACCGTAACCCCACGGAGAATTGAGATTGTTGGTCTTGTGAGAACTTTACCCACTTCTCAATTGCTCTTTTGAAAACTTGATATGACTCCTTACATTAAAAATCCTGTTTAAGAGCAATTCCTGGGATACAATAGTGATGTTACCAGTGTTCTGCATTAAATAAACAGTATTAACTGATGAGAAGA